TTTCACTCCTTGGGACACAGTACTCAGCCTCATGGTAACAAGAGAGAACTCAAACCCGCCATGTCTGCAGGGAAGATGGGGAAACAAGTCCTGTCCACCAGTCTTGGCTACACTGCAGATAAAGTACCTTTGAAACACTGTATCAAGAAATTAGAATCTTAGCTGGGGCTGACCTGACCATATTACACTCAGTGATAACCACATTACACAGAAAAGCTGGTAAGTGCATGGCTATTTATCAGGGCCTGCTGTAACAGGAAAGAAGCAGGTCATTCTGACTGCATCTGAAAGGAAAAACATTCTTCTTCCCATAAGCCTAAAGAAGGTATCACACATCCAGGAACATAGAATCTGAACTCTCAGAAAGTCAAGGCTAAAGGAGAAGGCATGAATATTTTCCTGAACTTTATAGGATATAGAAGCCAAGTTTATCAAAAAGAAAATAGAAAACAAATATCCTAATAGGAAAACATGGCCTTTCCTCTGACAAGTATCTTAAATGAAAACTTTTCAAATTGGCAAGACAGCCTTTCTTCATGAGTTCACAGCTAACAAATACAGATGAGGGCATCAGACATAACTTTTAGAGAACATGGCTTTATACAGTGCAAGTATATCAGACATTCTTCAATATAAAAGAGAGACCAAAACAGAAATACAGACTTGGGGGTGGGGAGGTCAGGAAAGAAAGAATACCATGACAGGAAAAAGAAAAAAAACTTTCATTATGAAATCGCCCTCTAATCTCAGAAAGATGATATAACATCTGTGAAACAAAGAATGCCATAAAAAAGGAAAGAGAGCAAGAAAATGTTCTTGGAAATTGAAATGTTCACAGCCAAAATAAAAATTCAATAGACAATCCAACACAGAAGAAAAAGTTGAAATCTCTTAGAAAATAATACAAATTGAAAAAGAGAAGGGATATAGAAGAAAAATATGACTTAGAGGATTAATCTAAGAAATCCAATATCCTACTAATAGGAGTTCCAGAAAGAGAGGATGGAGAAAACAGGGAAATAAATTATCAAAGAAATAATAAAAGAAAATTTTCCAGAAAGAAAGTTAGTAAGTCCAAACAGTGAATGGGCCTGCTGGATTTCCAGTCCAATTAAGGAACAGAGGGTTTGTATTAGGGCATATTCTTATGGAACTTAAGGATTCTAGAGCTAAGAGAGCTGCGTCTGAGGATAAGGAGATGGGATAGGGGTAGGGCAAAGGAAAGTAGTCACATTCCAAGAAATTAGAATCGAAATCATTAACCTTGGATGCTGGAAGATAATAAATTTGGAAGGTAAGCCTTTTTCAGCTTAAAATTCTATATGCAGCCATACTATGTGATTCATGTGGGAAAAGAAACAAAATTTAGATATGTAAACATTTATAAAAATTCCTGTGTATCTTTTTATTAGTTACTGGAAAATGTGCTTCAGTAAAGTAAGGGAATAAACCAAGAAAGAGAAAGTCATGAACAGAATCCATAAAACAGGGAATCCAGTCCAGAGAAGTGGTAAAGGGAAGTCCAAGGATGACAGCTATGTAGCAGGCCTGGAGAGCAACCAGTCCAAGATTGGATCAGAAGAATGGAAGGCTTTGTGGGGGAAGGGATGGAATAAAGGAATTATTGGATGTGTTTGCACATTTGGGAATAAAATCTGATACATTTTTGAGAAAGTAGGGAATTTTCATTGTCTACCCATGAAAAAAGAGAACAAATAAAGGCAATAAATAGTTCTAGGAAAGACAAAACCATGTACAAAGAAAGAAACCATAACCTATTGGAAGGGTGGCAGGGAAGTGAGAGAAGAAAGGACAGGCAGGTCACCTGGGATTCCATCAACCAGAGATAACATGTTATTATTTTGTTTATCTTTTCAAATAAATCTGTACCATACACATATGTATCTTTATAACACTGGGATCATACTGTACTATTTTGTGGTTTGCTTTTTGTCTGTTACTATTATGTTTAAATATTTATTTGACATTATATATTCTGCGGGATAATATTAATAGGTTATAGAATAATTAATTTAGTGAATAGACCATAATGTATTAACCAAATCCCTGTTGCTTTGATTTATTTGGTCCTTATAAGTTCCCTGAAATATAGTAAAACAAAAACAACTCTGATGTTGGAACCAGGACTTAGAGTCTTAACTGTGACTAAATATCCTGTCCTGATTTAGGAGATTAGGCCAAGAAAATGCAAAATATTTACTCCTATATGTATTCATGCTAATGTCCCAGACAGACAAGAATGATGGAAGTGCCACTTCTGGCCGGCGCGGTGGCTCATGCATGTAATTCCAGCACTTTGGGAGGCCGAGGCAGGCAGATCATGAGGTCAAGAAATTGACACCATCTTGGCCAACATGGTGAAACCCTGTCTCTACTAAAAATACAAAAACTAACTGGGCATGGTGGCACACGCCTGTAGTCCCAGCTACTTGGAAGGCTGAGGCAGGAGAATCACTTGAACATAGGAGGCGGAGATTGCAATGGGCCGAAAGCCAGACTGTCTCAAAAATAAATAAAAAATAAAGTGCCACTTTTTAGTATTACATCATGGCTATATTTAAGGGAACATCTCCTATCCCCTTCTCTGTCTAGAGTGCTGCTAACCCAAGTATCTGCATGGTCCATTTTCTCATTTCATTCAGGTCCCTCGCTGTTCGCACATCCCCTTGTCAGGGAGGCCTTTTTGGTGCGCTTTACATAAAATAGGCCACCACTGTCACTGCACAGACTTAACTGCTGAGCTGATTTTATTTTTTTCCATAGTACTTCCTCATCATCTGCCATCCCAACACTAAAATATAAGCTCAAGAATAGTTTTTCTGTCTTACTTGTTTCTCTATCTCCAGTGGCTAAAATAATGCCTGGCATAAAGTAAGTAGGTGCTCAGTCATCTTTCAGTGAATGAACAAACAAATGAATGAGTTAATTAACTGGGACTTAGAAAACCATGGGAACAACCCAAGAAAGCAGTGAAGGGAAATTCTAAGTCAACAGAGGTCCAGTTCCAGGTTAGAGCAGAAGATCTAAGGGTCCAGGAAAGGAGGCCTCCAGGAAGAACTGAGTCAGAAAAATTTCGATTGAGCAGAGTTAGAAAAAAAAGGGGGGGGGGCGGGTAACTTTAACAAAAACAAATATTGGAGGACAGAGACGTAACTTGTAAGAATGGAAGTCTGCTTGGCTGAGCAGTGAGCAATATTTAGAAGTAAAAGCATAAGTATATTAGTAAGAATAGATGAATTAAAATAAGATATGGCAGGAAGGAATGGTAGGGCTGTAAAAGTGAGCAAAACCCTCATCTCTCATTGCAACTCAGCAAGGGTAATGAATAAGTTATCGAGCAATGGCAAGACGGTCATAAATGTTTGGAGGTTTGGTGAAAACTGGTGGAAGGACAGCTAAAAGAGTTAAGAGAGGCTTCCTCTAGGAAACCAGTCTGGAAGTGGGAAATGATGGAAAAGGAAACTATAGTTTTGCACTACAGGCATTTCTGTGATATTTGATATGAAATTATATATGTGTGTGTGTGTTACCTTTATAAAACTGAAACTATCGGCACTTGGGAGGCTGAGGTGGGTGGATCACTTGAGGTCAGGAGTTCGAGACTAGCCTGACCAACATGGTGAAACCTCGTCTCTACTAAAAATACAAAATGAGCTGGGTGTGGTGGTGAGCACCTGTAGTCCCAGCTACTTGGGAGGCTGAGATGGGAGAATCACTTGAACCCAGGAGGTGGAGGCTGCAGTGAGCCAGGGTCACACCACTGCATTCCAGCCTGGGCAACAAAGAGCAAAACTCCATCTCAATAATACTAATAATCTGGAACTGATATTCTAGATAATTGAAGCCACAGGGATGGAGGCAGGACGGGAGGAAGGTGTGTGGAAAGTGCAAGTATGCTAAGGGCCTGCCTTTTTTAGATGAGTGATTTCAGACAGCAAGAGAAAATGTAAGTTTGCAGTTTTTAGGTAAGGCTAACCACTAGATAAATAAAAATGGAATTTATGCCTTCATATTGTTAACGAAAAGAAATTTGTTAAAGCCTGAGTGGGGAGGAAAACTCATCATTCACACTAAAGATAAGATTCAGAAATAACAAGAAAGCATAGGGTAAATAAAACAAGATGACTGTAGTCAGACCAAATAGCTCCGATCTCAATATATGTGAATATGTTGAGTCTCTCTATTTAAGAAACAGACTTTCAAACTACATTTTTAAAGAAGTCAGCTTACATGATTTCAAGACACATACTTAAAATGACAAAAGATTGAAAATGAAGGGAAGGGCATATACCAAGCAGATGCTGGCAAAGAAGAAAGCAAGATAATAATAGCAGCCAAGATGGAATTGAAGGCACAAGCATTGAATGAAAATTTTCTTCCCAGTACAAGAAAGCCACATATATTCATGTTATCTGTGGCTTTCCTCCTCTTTCCTAGGTATTTGACATCTTGAAAGTGAGCATCACTTAGCTGATTTTGCAGCCAATATAATGGGACCAATCCTTACTGAAAACCCCTGGAGAACTTCAAATGTATTTTTAAAAATAAATATTCCTTTGTTTTATTTTTTTTTAAATCCAGTAGCTTTCATGTTAATAACTGTTTGCATTTTCTTGGCATACATGATTTATTGGTAGCAACTTGTGCTTCTAAGTCTTAAATTGAAATCGCACATATTGGTCTGGTACAATTACACGCATCATCTGCTGTGGTGTCTGACACTGGGCTGTGGAACCATTGAATGTTTGCTATGGAGAAGCCAGATGAGGTTGGAAGAAGGTTCTTTTAAAGTAAATGCTCTTGTTTCCAGAGACTGTGTGCATATTGCCTGACTCACAGTCCTCTCTTGGCCTCACCAGTATCTCTCATCAGATAGCATATGCCAGAAGAAAGGAGGAACATGAATTTACTAAAATTAATTTGATATTTGTGTTTGTTATGTGTATTCTAAATGTTTGACTTTTTATTTTTAAATGTAGCTAATGCTGCCTACCTTGGGGGCCAAGAAATGATGGAGGTGGTGAAGAGGGATGACGAAGTCATAAAGGAGCATTTATGTAAGGTAATCACTTTAGTGCTGTAAGGGGATAAGTAATACATAGATGGGCAGAGACTTTTACTGAGGGCAAAGGACTAGAACTAGTTAGAATCTGTAAGACTTTAAGGGTTTGTAGAATGACATAGAGCTCTACTTCCAGTTAAAATTATAATTATCCTTGAAAGTTGCAACGAGAGTAGTAAAGCTGATTGCATAGTAACTTAAATATATTTTACCACCTGTTTTTGAATTAATTTTAGAATCAATAGTTTTCTATTTCGTCAATGCATTTTAGCCTCTCTAGGTCTTCTATTGAGAAGACTTAATAATGTTTATAGAATAAATGAATTATATTGGAATATAAATGAAACAGTGGAAAATAACTTACATTATATATTATACGACCTCATGACTAGTGAGCCTGTCTTTCTTATTCTCTAATGTATTAGAGTAGGAATGTCCTGCTCTGACCTTAAGACCAGTTTTCTGAAATAGTCACCATTTGGGAGTTATCCTGCAAATACTAGAATCTTGACACAAACACATTTGGAAGCACCAATCTCTGAAACCATAAGATAAGACTATGGTTTAATATATGTCTAAGGTCACCTTGGAATTTGGGTGACTGTGGTACTCCTGTGGCATCATTTATCAGGCTGCCCATTCTGAGTAGGATAGAGCTATACTGTCTAATATTCTAGCCACATGTGATTATTTGTGGCTAGCCTGAATTGAGACGCACCGTAAAAGTGTAAAACACACATGGACTTCAAAAGCTTAGTACCCCCAAAAAGCAAAATATTTCATTAATTTTTATATTGATTATCTGTTGAAATGATACTACCTTACATAGACTGGATTAAGTAAAACATATTAAAAGTAATTTCACCTATTTCTTTATACTTTTTTAAACATCTTTACTAGGAAATTTTAAAATTACGTATGTACCTTGCTTTATACTTCGGTTGGACAGCACTGATCTTGAACTTTACAATTGGTGTCAAACTCTGATACCTGCTGAACTGATCCCTGCTGAGTGGCAAACTCTTATAGGGCTCAGGAACCTATAATCCACAAGTGAGATATGAGATAACCCACTGGACTTAGAATGTCTTTATAAACCTTGATACATTTGACTTAAACTTTCCTACAGTGTTAATTCATAATTCCATAACTTCCCAATACAATTATCTTAAAGCAAGAAATGGATATGTTCTTAAAAAATTGTTTTCAGAATAGTGAAAATATTCACCAGGAGAGGACTTTTGAAAATGCCAGTGTGTCTTTGTCTCATGGCCGTAGTGGTCATTATAGTTCTAAAATAGCAATTGGCTAGAGATTGAAGTTTGGAAACCAGAAGGAAGCCCTCACCAGCCGAAGGGAGAGTGCTGGGGCCTCAGGTGGGCCTCTCCCCAGGGCTTTCAACTACTTCCAGTCATTGAGCGATGTGAAAATACAAGAAAAACAGTATTTTATTTTTCATTTAAACTATAAGTGAATCTGTTTCAAAAATGCATTTAAGTTCTTCCAGGTTGGGAGTTCATAAAAACAGCTCAACTCTCAGTTAATAATAAGACTGGCAGATGCTCACTTCCAAAATTCACACTTGCTGAGTGACTAGACCCATCATGTGTCAGAGCCTGCCTTACCACCTGTGGAAGCCAGCTGCTGTAAAATACTCATCATTTCTGGATTCTGCTTGTGTGTTGTGCTTAGAAAAAGGTCAAAGAAAGGTGCTAACTTATTCCTGTCCTAAGTTAAATCCATATGCAAGTGTAATCATTCCCAGATAGAGGGCTGTTCATGGTAATTGTGTCAGGACTGTAAGTTTACTGAAACTTTTATGGGGAAATATGGGGGTTTAATGGTAGATGGTAGACATTTCAAGGTTAGTATTAACACACAGTCACAGGAATAAACTTTTCCAACTTCAGGCAATGATTTTGTTTTTGATATAGCGTTAAATGTACTTGTAGAATATGGGGAAACAAGGCATTGTTTCATTTAATCATGCAAAACTACCTTGCAGTTAATTCATTATCCTTTCTACCAGCAAAATTCAAGCTCTCCACTAGAATAATACAATTACAATTCCTAAGTGAAACTAGGTACAGAGAGACAGGAAGTTTATTGCAACTTTTTGTTTCTTTAATAAGAAGAGGAAACATGCTGTAATTTAATATTGGTAAAAGTTGAATCAACTTATGGCCCAGTCTGCTTGAGAAAGTAAGGAAACTTAAAAGTGCACATAGTTCTAGGAAGATAGTGCGCATCACCTCCTGCCTTCCAACCACCACTGATAACTAGGCAAACTGAAACCCATGTCTAGGATTAGAGGTATTCCTAGTTTAGATATCTTAATCGATGATACTCTTTCCCATTTCCATCCAAACAAAGGCATTCGGAAACATCATACCTATCCAGGACTGTCCACAGTGAATCGTCGTTGAGCCACACATTGTGTTGAAAAATCATTTCCTATATCTCAAGTTATTCAACTAAAAATAGTTCTGAAAAATATATCTTTGTGCCATCCAGCCAGGATGCCACAGGATAGTCTAAAAATAAGCTTTGTACCATATCATGCAGACAGCTTTCTACTTCTTTCTCCTCCCCGAGAGAACTGTCATACCATAACCTGCAGGCTTTGGTTCTAAATCCAAATTTTCTACCACTGGATATCCATTGGACACAAGAAAAGAGTTTTTAATATGCTTGAGGCAAATGGGCATTTTTAGCTTTAAAAGATCTGTTGGGCTGATTGTCCTCCTTCCAAGGTCTAGTCACTTTAAATACAGTATTGGGCATAAAATAATTTGTTTTATTAAAATAAGGTAATTAATTTTATTAAAATAATTTTTCTTTCCTGAAGCAAATATTACAGACTCATAGTTGTTTCCAAAGGACTATACCACAGTTTATGACTTCATAGGTTATTTTCTCTTCTTTTTTTGAGACACAGTCTCGCACCGTTTCCTGGGCTAGAACGCAGTGGCACAATATTGGCTCACTGCAACGTCCACCTCCCAGGTTCAAGCAATTCTCTTGCTTCAGCCTCCTGAGTGGCTGGGATTACAGGTACCCAGTACCACGCCCAGCTAAGTTTTTTGTATTTTTTGTAGAGATGGCGTTTTACCAAGTTGGCCAGGTGGTCTTAAACTCCTAACCTCGTTATTCACCCGCCTCAGCCTCCCAAAGTGCTAGGATTATAGGCGTGAGCCACCACGCCCATCCTATAGGTTATTTTGTCATCTGACTAAATTCTCCTTGTCCAATGTCATTTCCAAGAGGCCTTCCCAGTCTTGGGTTTTGGTTAGATGTCACTCCCTATGTAAAGTTGCCATACTGCATTTATCACATAGTGTTTAAACAATCAACCTTTGCCTTTCCCCACTTTGAGGTAAGGAACTGTGTCTTCCTCATCTTGATATCCCCTAGGGCCTAGCATAATTCATACCTGGTAAACAGTCGATAAATAAGTGCTAGACAGATGTATAGATAGGGAAGCCATTCATTAGAGTGTGGATTCTAAACCTGTTTTGTGCCACGTACCTCTTTCACTCTCTCCCATAGAGCTTTTGGATTCTGTTCACAGTGAGGTTTTTAAGTGCATAAAACAAATACACAAGATTACAAAAGAAAGCAGTCATTGGATAATGAGATACAATAGCAGTCAGAATTACTATTTTTTTTTTTTTTTTTTTTTTTTTTTTTTTTTTTTTGAGACAGAGTTTCGCTCTTGTTACCCAGGCTGGAGTGCAATGGCGCGATCTCGGCTCACCGCAACCTCCGCCTCCTGGGTTCAGGCAATTCTCCTGCCTCAGCCTCCCGAGTAGCTGGGATTACAGGCACGTGCCACTATACCCAGCTAATTTTTTGTATTTTTAGTAGAGACGGGGTTTCACTATGTTGACCGGGATGGTCTCGATCTCTCGACCTCGTGATCCACCCACCTCGGCCTCCCAAAATGCTGGGATTACAGGCTTGAGCCACCGCGCCCGGCCCAGAATTACTATTTTAAATTTGTAATGATGAGTATAATTTTTTAGTCACCTTGAGCAAGTCAGTGTGATTTGAAAATACCATTTTTATAGGTGACAAAATACAGGCATTACTAATACTATGGCTTGTTGCCTGTATTCATAACTGAAGGAAATACTAAATTTTGGTTAGAGATTAACAAAAATAAACATGTAAATTTTTTTCAAGTTTATATAACCTCCCCCCCCCCGCCGCCCACCAAGCCCCTGGACCTGTACACTGCAAGCGAAGAAGTCCTGCCTTAGAGGAACTAGAAAAGGTTAGGTAGCATGATGTTGTGGCTTAGGCACTGGCCGGCGATCAAGATGTGATATGCTGCACTAAAGAGACTGTTTTGGGGAGCTATTGAAGGGTTTAAGCATGGGGGTAACAGGGTAACAGTCAAAACATTTGACAGCCATGTGATATAGCCACTGACCAATCAGAATGTATGCCAGCTATGAACAGAGGCACCAGTTCATATCAGTTAACCCTAGGAATGTGGGGAGATTAACAAATGAGAGGGATTATTTTGGGGGAAAATTTATGATGTAATACTAGGAAAGGGCAAAACATGAGTTGGGGAGCCTGTTTACAAGGCTTTTATAAGAACTAAGGCGTTGGGATTGAGGATGGAAAGATTTAGGAGGTAGAATCAAAGGTACCGAGTACTAACAGGATATCAGGGAATGGAGATGGAGGAATCTAAGATGATTTATCTGTATCTGGACTTCGTAATAAGATAGGGAAGATGGGGGGAGAAGCAGCAGCAAGTTGTGGGAGATGGCAGAACCGATGGTTCCTTTTGGTACTTTTATTTGAGATGCCTGTGGGACATGCAAGTGGATCTGTGTATGGGTATTTATGGGTATGAAGCTTAGAAAAGCATTTGGGGCTAACTTGTGGTTGGGGAGTGATGAGGCTATACTTAAAGCCAAGAATTTGGGTAGTAGCAGCCTAAAGAATTGCGCAAAACAAGGAAAGAAGACTTTTAATGATTTATC